TGTCCTCACTCTCCTCCGTGTTGGCGGAGAGAGATGGGCACCACTGGCCACAGACACTGGCTTCCAGGACCTCATGTGGGTGACGCTCCAGCCAGGTGGCCAGTCCCGTTAACACGAGGCCTTTGCCTGCACTGGGCTGTTTGCGACCCTGGAGCCATGGGACTCAGGCCTGGGTGTGGGCAGTCGGCCTCCCCGGGCCCGTGGGCTGTGTGCCTTCAGCCAGACCTCACCTCTGAGCCTCAGTGTCCTCTTCTGTCAAGTGGGAGGGAGGTCACAGAATGACAGTGAGGATCCCATAAAGCGACGTCCGTGGGATTCGGGCCGCGCCAGACACCCATGGGATCCGAGGTGCGTGGACCTCACAGCGACCGCGTCTGTCTGTGGCAGAGGAGACAAAAGCAGGGGGGTCCGACCACTCCCAGGCGGCGGAGGGACCTGTTCGTGTAGAATTAATTATTCACAAGGAAAGAGGACGCTAAATTAAACTAGAGTGGCCTTACTCTGCACGTGGGAGAAGGGCCAGTCACCCCCAGAGCCTGCCCCATGCGCCCCCACACCAAGGAGGGTACAGAGTGCAAGGACAGCTGCTCTCGCCCACCCACGGAGCAGACCTAATACCCGAACACAGTGAGGGGAAGTGCCGTGTCTTTCCCGAGGGCTCCGTCTCACAGCCGGGTCCCCGGAGCAGGGACCAGGGCCATAGTCCCTGGTGGCCTCGGACCCAGCTGCCAGCCTGGGTCGCCTTTTGGATGACCTTGCCCCAAACCCTGAACCCTGGGACAGCCAGCATTTCCAGGGCGCCAGCCGGGGGGAGGGGTGCCATTGGTCCCCACAGGGGTGTCGGGAGTCGTGATGATGGTGACCGCGGAGCACCTGCTGTCCTGTCCTCTGAGCTCTTTCCAGGTTGTAACTGGGGCTCACAGAGGTGCATGTGCCCAAGGTGTGGTCACACCTCGTAGCTGGCAGACGCAGGTGTCCTCAGGTGCTCGGGGTGTGGGAGAGCCGAGAAATCTGTGCAGAATAAGGCCCTTTCCCATTTCAGCTCTCAGGGAGGCTCTGGGTTCAGGACCTGGCCCTGCTTTTTCTAGGTTTGGCCCAAGGCCACTGCTCCCTGAGCCTCAGTTTGCTGGTCTGCAAACTGGGGATGGAGATGGCACCCACCTCATCACTCGGGGAAACAGCTCAACGCTGGGCCAGCACATGCTGCGGCTGTTAGCACCGTCACCATGGTTACAGCAAGTAGTTACCATGAGCACCGCGAGTGGGGCTGTGGACCAGCCCGCCCACCCCATCTCGCTCTGTCCCCTTTGTGACGACCAAGCTCTGGCATTGAGTCCTGTGGTCACTGGAGATTGGGGGCTAAGGTCGGGGCTCAGTGTGAGGTCGCACCTCTGCATGTACCATCCAGGCACTTGGCCTCCTGTCCAGGTAAAGGGAGGTCTGTGGGGTTGGGGAAACTGAGGCGGAGCCCTGCTTCTGCCATTGGCAGCTGTGTGACCGGGGACTCCGCCTTGGCTGGAGGTCCGAAGCCGCCCACCCTGTGCGTGGCCTCCCAGTGCCTTTAAAGCTCTTGGCGAGTTGCTGGCACTAGAGGCGGGGCAGCCTCCCGGGGGGTCCCTAGGTTCTGGGGAGATGGGGAGGTGGGACAACTGGGGAGCCGCCCGGGCACTGTCCCCTTTGGCCCATGGGGTTCCAGCAGCAGCGCCTTCCAGAGGGGTGTGTGGCCTGGGGAGAGGGGCTCATGCTGTGAGTGCTCCCCCTGCTTTGGGAGCCAGAGTGAGGGTCACACGGTGCTGAGGCCCCAGCTTCCCAAGGGGCCAGGCCAGTGACAGACCTGGGAGGGGCTTGGACCGAGCGATGGCACAGCCTGTGTAGAGGGTGGCCGCCCACCTGTTCCGGGGACTGTGGATGCAGATGTCCTCAGGCCTCCAGTGTGCAACCTTTCCCAGCAGGTGCTTTTGGGGTGCACGTCCCAGCAAAGGGGTTCATGTCCTCTGCTTGTGAGAGTGCATGGGGGTGCTGTCAGCAGGACCAGAGTCCCCTCGCCCCACTGCCGAGGCCAGCCCCCGCCCAGGGCATTCTCTCCTGCCCCGGGGAGTCCACTGCTGGGCTCCTGCACACTCGGTGCCCCCCGAGTCTTTGTGCCCGGGCGTGGCCTGCGGCATCCAGGTCACCCCTTTCTCTTCGGGCTAATAGGTTTGGGCTGCCCTTGTTTTGCTGTCGCTGGGGTGCTGGTGAGTCCCCAGTAATCACGGTCACCTTAAGACAGTGGTTCTCAACCTTCCCAATGCCGTGACCCTTTCATGCAGTTCCTCATGTTGTGGTGACCCCCAACCATAAAATTATTCTTGTTGCTACTTCATAACTGTAATTTTGCTGCTGTTATGAATCATCATGTAAATATCTGATATGCAGAATGTATCTTCATTGTCCCTAGAAAGGGTCGTTCGACCGCCAAAGGGGTCTTGACCCACAGGTTGAGAACCGCTGCTCTAGGGGCATCTTCCTGGAACACATGCTATCAGCCACGTGCACAGCTCTCGCACTCTCCCCACACCCCACATCCTG